GGTGGGATGAAAAAACCCAGCCACTCTAACCCAGCCTCTGCAAATCACTTGTAAACCTCCTTCCCTCTCCAAAGCCCATTAACCCCAAGTTTCTCTACCTTGGTCACAGATTTGTAAAAAGTTTGTAACATCATTAAAAAAAAGTTAAGTTTTCAGGCTATGAAATCTTGAAAACATACAACATTAGTCACTTTAAGAAGCAATAAACAGCATATAATTCCCTTTATATTAATTTAAATATTTTATTTAAAATTATACATTACTAAACCTGAAGTATTTATAAATTAAAGGACTTTAAGTGAAAAACGATTCCCTACTAAAAGTTATTTCTAATGTCTAATTCTAATTAAAATACTTTGGTCTTATGATGACAACTGCATTTATAACACAAGCAATTACTAATCCCTAAGAACATATATTTGTTTTACTTGCATGTCGCATAAGTTGAATGTCTAAGTCCTCCTTCAAACAATAAACCAATCTAGTTTAACTTGGTCGTTAGACTCCTGTTGTGATTTTTATTTTCTTAATCCCCATTACAGAGTTACTGAAAGACAATCCCTATAAGGAGGAAAAAAAAGCTTTTCAGAACACACATGTGGCTAAAGGAAATGAAAATAGAAAAAATAACATATTTCTATACAGAAAAACATAATTGTAGAAGAAATACTGTGTGACTTCAGAGAAAATCTGTTTTTTCCCTTCTTTCTTTCTTTTCTTCAAGCTGTTATCAGATGGTCTGGAAATTTGATATGATCCTGGTATATCGTGACAAAAATGTGGACTAAGCATAATGGCATTATAACAATATAATACAAACCAAATCAGAATCAACATTCTTGTTGACACTTAAATAGAGGAGGATAGAAAAATTAAATCCTCAGTAACCACTGAAAACTGGCAAATGAATTCCAACTATATTTTCAGAAACCTTTTACCCAGATACCTCTATTTCATATTCCGTTATTTCCTACACTGCCATAAGCATAAATGTACTTGGAAAGTGAACACATCTAAGCTATATTGTAAGTGAATGTAAGAATAATGAGGTTCTACAGAAAAACGTTCTATCACCTGCTAATCAGCTTTTTTAACATTTGAGATACTGCAGTAATTCTTAGTTACATAATTAGTTACAAGTGTTGGAAGCACCAGACAGGAAGACAGGAGTGCCTAAGACCCCAACTCATTTATTACTGTAAGCATTAGTTTGCTCATAATGACACAGAAACGAGTGTTTCCCTCAACTGGGCTCTCTTTTCAGAAAACAAAGACATCTATGAGCAGATAATTTCCTAACTTATGGAATCTTCTACTGGTGCCTCCAATCAGAAAGAAACATAACAGATACACTTAAGGAACCAATACGTCCACTTGTTTCTTGCCTTTCCATAATGCAGCTGTGCATCATGCGAATACTGCATCTGTAATTACCGCAGAACAGATGGCAAAGGTTTAGTTTCCAGTGTATACATTACCACGGCATATGCTGCCAAGTGAATTCTCAGTCTAACAAGGGACTTTTCTCTCCAGTGGTCTGATCCAACAGTTCATACACAAAGCCCCCTGTGAGATTTTTTTGGTCCGTAGGGAATGAAAGATTGGATTTACTGTTTCAGCAATTTTTTTTTCCAAATGAAATATGTTAAAAGCTAATAGGCCAGACTTTATTTCCCGTATCAGGGAACTGCCTAGGTTTAAGTGGAATAAAAATCAAAGTTCTAAGTGGCTAAATGATACATTTATAATTTCAGTGCTTCTCTGCTTCTTGGGTAAATCATGACCAAACTCTTTGGTCACTGTTTGCAGAACATATTCCAAAAACCAGATTCCTGTAAAAATAAATACATAGTCTAAAAGGTACAAAGAAAACATAGCTAGATAAAAGTAAAAATTACCAGTAGTTTGTTTTCTTTGATAACACACAGTAGTTTGGTCCATTGCCCAAATCGTTTCTTTCTAAGGAGGAAGGCACAGATTTTGGCATCCTTCACCAGATCCATAGAGGCCTCCTCAGAAGGCCACTGATGTCTCATTTTCTTCCCCTTTCCATCCTCCTCTTCTTCATCATAGGATTCGTAAGAGCTGCTCATAGCATCCGAGTCATAATCTTTAAGAAAAGTGTAAAAGTGTCAAGTTAAAACATTTAGTAATGAAGCATACTAAAATAACTGAAAATCTCAACAGGGTTCAGTTCAAGTTAAGGCTTTTGAAAGTCAGCCATGAACAAATTACTGTTTCAGTGCTTAGTAATATCAATACATTAATTGAACAGCAGATGCTGTTCCATTATTTATAGAAGACCCATACTGATACCTTGGGAATGTTAATTGAAAGAGTGAGCTGGAAATAAATAGTTAGAATTTATGTAGTTTTTTATTGTCTTCAAAGTATTACTTAGCAGATACCTTCATCTTTTGTAATTCTTTTACAGAGAAACATCTTCATCTTGCCCTATTGCATAATGCAAAATGTAGGCACAGAAATGTCAATATTAGCACAGCATGTTAAGAAATAAACACTGAATATGACAAAGGTCACAAGAGTAAATTATGAGGCACTATCTACCTTACATAACATTTCATACAATTCTCAAATAACAGCACCTGCACTGATATAATTAATGATGAATACACAACACTGTTCCTTGAACTATGGATTCTGCTGGAGTTAAAGGCATTCTGCAAAAAACGTCTTGTTAAGGTAGCCTAAACAGTTTAATCCTGCTCTAAGTTTGGCAATGTAATGGCAAGAATCCTTTTTAATTAAACAAGCTTTTGTTCAGGCCTTTCATTTTCAATCAGCTCTAGCAGTCCCCCTCAACTACAAAACTCCTTTGCCATTATCACAGAACCCTCTCTTCCACCATTCATACTTATTTATTTGCTTATGTGGGCATATAAGTAAAGCTCCTCAGTTATCCACTGGCACATGCTCCCACAGAAAAGACTTGATTGGAATATATTCAATAGCTGAAATTTCATCCAAACATTTCAAGTAGACTTTGATATATTTTTAGGCCAGAAGGTGGAAGACAAATCTCTCATTTGCTTTAGCTAGGTATTTAGGACACAGTTGGGATGTAGGAAGGAGACCTGGGACAACTGGGAAAAGGACAAGAGAGTGGATTGCTGGAAAGCTCATTCTCAATCAGTTCTTCCTATGTGCAGACTCAGAATGGGATATACCCAGACCTCACATCTCTGAATCAAGACTAGATATTCTGATCCTATTTGTGTTTTCACAAAAGTGTACAAAATAGTTTATCTTCATTTCAAAGTAAAATTAAAATAAAATTTCAAGCCCTTGAAACATTTTTTAATTTTTTTTTTTTTTTAAATTTAATTGAATTGCCATCTTCTGGTCAATTCTACTACAGAGTGTTTGGTTTTGGGCAGCTCCATACAGGCAAGTGGTAAACACCTCAGATGATAAATTAATTGTAGGAAGTGCTGATTGAAACTTCAAAGTAGAGATTAAAATTCTGCACATTAAATATCCTACAGGTAGTCCCTACATGGCTCACAAGCAGTCCAAGTGCAGATTTCAGTTCACAATAAGTTGTATGATCAGTAGAGGGACTCTGCTGGCACAGGAGTTGCAGGTTCATCCAAATCTCTGTTTATAGGAGGATGAAAGCCAACAGGAGCTTCTGAAGCTGACGTTTCTGGATTCCCATCTTCGCACAGTCTAACGGGATCTCTGGGGATCTGTTGCCATATCCTGTCCATTAACTACTACTCATGTTTCTCTTCCCCTTGGGTTGTGGGATTCTTGGCCAGAAGAAGAGTTTGCTGTGTGACTCACACCAGGAAGGATGACCACCCTGGAGTACCCATATCATCCCGGTTGAAACTTTCGCTGCTCTTTGCCACATTCTGCTTCTATTCTTTGTTTCTCCAAACTGCTGTATCATGGCCAAACCAAGGCTTTCAGGCTGTGGACACAAACTAGCTTCTGTTCACATTGTAAAGTGAATATTTTAACACAAATAGCATAGTCTACTACCCATACGTAACAGCTTTAGCAGATATTCAGAAAGTTATGAAGAGAAATGCAGCATGTATGTGTAATTTCAAAGGTTTTGAAGCAGTATTACCTCCAGCTAATATTCAGTGTGAACTGAATTTAGGAGGCTGTAAACTTCCTATTAAAAATGTTAAATTGTGGAAGCAAACTGTAAAGGTAAGCTGTGGAAAGGCGACTAGTGACTAAATCCTGTTGTCTCTTATTGTCTTATCACCATGGGTAATGAAACAGGCTTGACAGGAAACTGATAACAGGTAAGATCTGAGCACTTCTTGTGTATATGTTCAAGTCAACACACACTTTGGGTCTTGGAGTGGGGAAGGGGCGAGAGAAAGGAGAGAAATACAAAACATGCAGAAAAAGTGAAGAGTGTGTCTCCAAAATAAAGTTATTTTATTAAGTCTACTAAAGTCCCAGAGACTGAGATTCACTGATACAACATGTTCCAATGCTGCCAATCTACCTTTCTTGCATCTTCTGCGTTTTCTGATTATTCTGGCTTCTTTGATATTGGCTTTTCACACTTCATCAAAATTTTCCACTGTTAGGGGGTGAAAATCACAGTGGACTTTCACATTATTTGTAATAGCATATTCAAAAGATCAGACTGTAACAATTTAGGCATATTGTACAGAACAGTAGCTTTTAATAAAGAGAAAGAGAGTTATCAGATAAGGTATATGTAGGCTTGTGTTCATCTAAATGCAAGTGTTCATTTACAAACAGATTACAGGAACTTGGAGAGGTTGCGGATATTTCATTTGCATGATCTATATTCTCCAATTTTCTTCAGTTGCTGTTCACCTTTATAGGTAGGACACATGGTATGTAAGCCTCCTTGCTATTAATGACAGTACAAAAATATTCCATAGGAATATTTGCTTAAGAGAATGATATCTATCCCAACAGTTGTTTAATAGTTTATTCATGCACTTTTTACACTTTAAGCACTTCTTTGTCACGGTCTTCTCCACCTCAAACAGTCTGAACAGCTAAGGTTACATCATTGGTTAATACACTGCTTTGGTGGCTTATTTTAATCACCACAGATGCTGCAGTTAGTGGAAGTTTTGGTTGAGTGGAGATTATTATTAACGGTATATTGAATTTAAAAGCAACTTTATTACCCATAAAGAGAAGAACACTTAACACAAATTAAAAGATGTGATAAAGAGTTCAGGACATAAGAAATTACAGCAAAATCACAGCAAGTGAGAAGATATGTTACAGTAAGAGAGATTTAAATGTCTGGAGATGTATGGTTAAATTATGGAATTATTAATGAACTTTTAAGGCTGATATCCTAAATATTTTAGGGATTTGGATGGTTAAGTACAGCAAGAAATCAGTTTCGTATTTTGTCTATTTTTTCCCTAGGCCATCCTTTAGCAGTGCTATTAATACTTGTTCTACTAATATTTTTCTGCCTGAGCATGGCTCTTGTTTAATGACAAAACACAAATCAGCAGTTCACTGGACTAAAGGGTGTAGCAGGACCACCCTGCAGCATTTTAAGGGAGGAAATGAAGGAGTGATTTTGCTGCTCTGCATCATTGGATTTACAGTATATGAAACTCTTTCTTACCTTGAATTTCTTACGTAAATTAAGATAACCTCAGTTTGTGCAGTGTACAAGTGAATAATTAATATTCTAAGGTGGCTCCTATGCAAGTGTTTTAAGAACACAGGTATTTTATTCATTTGTTCTGGTTCAAATAATAAAAATGGCTATAAAATGGGGGAAGATATGCCTTTAATCTTTGGTCCATAGAAAATAGTGATTAGTGATAAATCAGCCATATACAAGTAATAAATTACCCCGGCCAAGACAAAAGCAGCAAATAGGAAAATCTTTGCAGGTTTTTCTTCCTGTTGACTGATCCTGCATAAATGCTCACAGCGCTCATTTCAGCGGCTCATCAGCGTGCTCTCAGCGTAGTATATACGTCTTTGGACAAATATTTGGATGCAAGAAAGAGCATTTGTGTGTTGCAGCAGGACGTTCTGGTGGTGGTTTTGCTTTTTATTTGTGTACTTTAGCAAGTAATTCAGTGCAACAGAGACGTACCAGTAGATCTGCAGATGAGCACCAGTTTCTGAGTCCTCTGCATTTACAGTATCGCAAGTTTAGAGGGGTTTACTCTGGACAATACTTAACTCCAGGCTCCAGGTTCCAATGCCCCCACCATGTTCATGGTTCAAAGCTGTCCAAAAGACCAGTGACTGCTTTGGACCTTCTGCCTCCAATAGAAGCTGAAATGTGTTTATGTGCACCTAACTTGAGCTCCAGGTTTAGTTTTCTCTTTAAGGAGCCTGATTTATACACATCAAAACAGTTCTGCAAACCAAACCAATACATGGACAGTGAGGGGAACCAGAACTGGCCCCAGATGGCCAAAGCCACACTTATGACACATCACCACAGCACTAGTAGAGATGTAGGTGTTGAATACCAAGAAAGCTGAAGGACACTGGAATTACCAGTTGCTCAGAAACTGATCTGGATATATATTACTCACTGGAAGTGATGTACTCGGGAGCCTTGCCAGGACTAAGTGGCACTGCCTCTTCATAATAGCCTTCAGGAAGGGAAGATGTTGGTAATGGTGGAGGCCCATTATCTGGTGGCTAAAAAAAGAGGAAAAAGAAAGAAGAAGAAAAAGTGAACATCTATCACTCATGATAAGGAAGCAGAACCTTCTTGAGTGTACTCCAACCGAGTCCTTTGGAGATATAAACACAGTATAATCTTACTTGCCATTGTTAAGGATGGCAAAATCAAGATAACAACTCCATTAAAAGAAGTCCTTTCTACAACAGCATTAAGTGGTAAAAATCTTGAAAAAATATAGTTTTCTATTTAAAAACTAGAAACTTAAAGGTTCTATGTAGAAAAGAGATTTCTGTGCATAGACCATTTTACAGTGTTAAGATTTATTTATTAGTATTTTACATCTAAAATTATTCTGATTACAGCAGCGATCAACAGTTTGATTGGACAGTTTAGAAAAGCTAAATAGCCTGGGCTGGCAGACGTAAAGGACAGATAATTTAGATCATTATTTTCATGAAGTGTTTTGTTTTTCAACGGCAAATAAATTCTTAAAATAGACATTAATTTTTAAAATGCTCTTTCCACATAGTACAAACTGAGATACAACCAAGGAAAAGTTTGGAACATCAAGAAATTAGTATATGATAAAATAAATATTTCAAATACCAGGTCAAATTCTAAAATACTTCTTTTCTAAATATAAACCTGTTTTAAATTTAAAACTGACTGACTGCTGATATGTTGATATAGTAAAGTAAATTTAGTACTCTATGACTTCTTCCATATGATTTTACTGTTCTATTTCCTTAACAAGTACCAAAACAACTGTATTTTATAGAACTTACTCATATTTGCCACAGGTTTTTAGTTCCGTGTTTTCATATTGGAGAAAATACTGAAGTCTTTTTTCAACACCAGTGGTTTATTGTATGACTACAAAAACATAATTTGTAGTCAGAGTCTCATATCTGCAGTAACACTCTTTTTCAATACATCTTTCTCTTTTTTTCATGTAATGAAAGAGATGTCACGGTGTTTGTCTGCGTTGGAATGATCCAGTCTAAACTTGGCGAATGAACAGAGGTACCCAAGTAAGAAACTAGTCAGGGTGGACTTTGCTCATGGTCAGATATGGACACTTCTGGAGTGCAATTCAATGGGCTAAACAGTAGAGGCATATCTTCCACATAATATAGATCAAGCCACAGTGACTACACTCCTCTTGTGCTACAGACCTAAAGTTACCCGGGAGTAAGCTGAGCTTTAAAAGAATGTGGCATTAGCTGTAATGAAATTACTTCTGTGGGCACTTTCAGGGCTGGATTCATCTTTGCAGATTTGAGAGCTGGACATCTCCAAATCTCATTATTGATTACACACCTGCACTGGACACCTAATTCTTAATGACATCAGCAAGACAAGTCCCACACTTAGCGTGCTCTGTAGTTAAATTCATATCAAGTAGGTTATTCCCCCTTGCAGGTAAGTGCTTGTGTATTCCCAATGCGCAGGAAGGCAAGGAGCTGGCGAATAAACCTGCTCTTCAGCTCCTCCAGCACTGGCTTCCCTTTGTGCACTGTGCAAAATCAGAAACTTCCTCATAAACAATGAACCAATTTGTGACTGAACACAGAAAATCTTGGTCAGATTGAGATTTACACTAATATTCTGTATCAAATGATATAGCCAACTTCATATGTTGCACTCAATTACAGATAAGAAATGGCAATTACTGTTATCTACAATGTGAACCAAATGAGTTTTCCTCACAGACCAGTTATGCTAGAGAAATTATCTGTCAAAAAAAAAAGCAAATTAGTGACAAAATACAACTTTTAGCATAGTTTCCCTGTGATTCTGCTGAAAAAAAAACCCCAAATTGCAAATCTGCACACAATCACAAAATAAATGAGTCTTTCCAGGTTAGCTGCTGCTGTGCAACAGGCGTAAGGGACATGAACAAATATTGCATGTTCATAAATATTGGAAAATTGACAGCACATTATGAATTTTGCCCTCCACACCTGCACACATCAGCTCTGTGTGGCCTGAACTGCTAGACGCAACAGGGGAAACCGCCTCCGAGGAGTTTGTATTTTCTCCCATCACGCAGGTGGGCAGAACCTTGCTCAAGTGAGTCGGGGTCAAGGTTTGTTCCTGGGGCAGTGTAGATTCATACCACCCCTTTCATAAGACAGATATATTAATTTCTTGGTCTAGCCTTAAACTATTTTCCCTGTCAGGTGTATATATGATATATGAAATTCCTATCATTATTAAACCTAATTCACCCAGGAAATACCCATCCTGAGAGTTGATCCAATTTTGACTTGACAGAGCAGGAAGGTTTCAAAGCTATCTTTTATCCAGAGACAAATAAGAGGTTCCAATAGAGATTGGGGAGGGGGGGGAAATCCTTGTTTTTAGACAAAATGTTATTCAGAAAGAAAGAAAAAAGGAAATGAAACACAAATGGTGCTTGTCTGAATTCGACCCTGCTGGAGCACCAGTTACTTCATACAGCTGGGGCGGGCTGGGCTGTGCAGCCAACGTCAACACAGATGGAATCCATTGCTGAATTAACCAAGCCCTCCTTTCTGAAATGCATTTTGCAGTGCTTGCCATAACAAAGTTGAAAACAATTATTAAAAAGATTTTTTTTTTTTTCAAAAAAAAAGATTATTAGGAAAAACAGAAACATCCAGCATTAAATACTCTCTGATTAAAGCAAGGCTGCTTTAATATTGAAGGAAAATCCAACTGATTAAATACAAAATAAAAGTACTTCACTCAAATCTGTACCATAAACAGCTACATTGTTTGGCAGCTATGGAATATGTAAGTGTTTGAGCATCAAGAAATGTAAAAAGTACATCTGAGCATGCTGACATTACTTACTAATAATTACAGTGCTTAAATTTTTTTACTATTGCTAGCTGTATTGTTTAATTCTTACAACTTGGCAATTTTTAGTGGAGGAATTTTGATGAAGTTATGAATTATGAACTGAAATAATTCTTGATTCAATAATTTCTCATTAGTTTAACCTAAAAATAAAAAGGCCATAAAACCCACAAAACTATTTATATATTCTATGAAAGGATTAAATGTCAAAACCCCTAGAATATGTGCAGTTTGAGTGGTATCAGGAGGAAAGACCTGGCAACCTGCAAAGAAGGCATTAGCACGAATTTCTACTTTTTTTTTTTTTTTATGACATGCCACAAGGAAGAAAACTAGAGAATTCTGCCTTTCAAGACAAATAGCATTGCTCAATCACAGGAATAAGAACTGAGTTAGAAAAAAAAATCACCATTATTTTTATCTCACTGAAGGGAAAGGGACAAAGATGAGTGAGATACTGTTGCCCAGAATAATACCACTAATACTGAAACAATACTGATAAAGGTGTTTGTCAGGTGCTGGGTCTGAGACCAAATGAGACATGCTTTATTTGAAACCAGGAAGCGGACAGGGTGATAATTACACTATAGAACTGAGAACTCTGGAGACATTAAAGACTGGACTGTGCACAGGATGCCCAACTCCAGCTTACAGAGGGGATTGTTGAGAGAAAGAAAAAAAAAAATCACCAAATAATAAGCAATATTTACCTGGATAGTAAAACTCATTATTCTACTAGACACTGAAACAGTCTTATGGAAATACTAATTTTACAGCACACTATGGTCTTACCCTCCACCTGCTCCACTGTGTTCCACAGACCACAAACGAACTCTTTCTTTCTTTATCCTAAGAAATAAAATACTTTATTTCCCCCTTCTGTCCAAGGGTACTTACCAAGACAGGTAGGAACTTTTTTTTTAGGGATAGCCTAGCTGATATCTGCTGACGATATGGAAGCCTATAGTGTGGAAAGCAGCATGAAATACAGAGGAAAATAAATGTCATCGTATAGGGACCTGGGGATATAAAATCACTTTACACCCCAATGAAGATTTACACTATGCAGGAAATAATAGAAAGAAACACCTCCCTTTATGCAATTATTTAGGACGTGGAGATTTCCAGTGGAAAGCAGTGACTTTAACAGAGGCAAAGCCTGTCAGTACGCCCGTGCTGCAGGCAAAGCCTGCCAGCAATTCAAGGGCCATGCTCGCACGTGTGTTATTAGATCAACCACCAATTCGGATCCAGCCGGACTGTGGAGCCAGCTGCTACGTAACCCCTCAACACTGAAAAGCAGCAACATGAGACTGGAAAAGTGGTCACACACTGGTGATGCATAATGAAGCTATTCAGAAGCCAGCAGGCAAATGTGGGCTGTCAAGAAGAAATCTTGACACACGCACATGCCATTTGCTTTGGAGCAAGCTTAGAGCTGACCTCTGTACAACCTCACGGCATCCTCAGCTTGGGAGAGGGAACACATTTATGATCGCTTGCCCCACATATGAAAAAATGGTTGCCCACAAAGCGAAATAAAGCAACAAACTGAATACCAATACAACTGGAAAAATTACTGACAGCACATTTCAAGCAGGCTTCTTCATACCACTGTAAAGGCTGGAAACTGGGCACCGATACTTGACACATGCTTGGTATGAAAGCCTTTAGGTAACTCGAAATCGCTAAGGCACTAAAAAGAAATCACCATTTATTGCCTGCTATTGAGGACCTGGATGGACCTTGGATCTATTCAGGACAAAAGTGCTGACTATATGGGATGTTAAGACCATATTGAGCTGTGCAGGAGTGAAATACTAGCCTGAGCGTAGACAAGCAGAAGCTGAAAAGAATTCTTCATTTGATCTCAGCTCTGTAGTCTAAGGTTATTAATTTCTCAGCTTGTTAGCTGGACCCTGCAAAACCAGGAGCCAAATAATGTGAAACAAGTCTAACAACTTCTCTTTTCAGCTTATGAGCACATTTGACAAAAGACAGTAAACCAGCCAGCCAGACACAAAACCTCATCTTTTTGGAACAGAGTAATCCTGTCAGTCCCCCCACAAGGTGCATGACAGGCTGTTGGTATAGTCCCACCCCACCAGCGCTGAGTGTACCCAAGCAATTACAGCACATGCCTCTGGAACACCAGTGCTACCAGGAAAAA